ACAATTGCTAAGCTTATCTTCCTACCCATGCGTGGACACATACATGAGCTTGAAATGGACTGGTTCACTCATAGACGCAAATGAATACAGATCAACAACTAAGTCCAGTCGATGTGGATCTCTCTAGGAAATTTTATTCGCATGTGATGGGAACAGATAGAGGAAATGAACATTAAGAAAGAGTTGTCAAAATATCTTCACCAGTGTCAACTCTAATTTGATTCAGTAATATATCTCTGTGAAGTTTTCTGTATCATATTCCTATGCTGAATCATCTTTTAAATTTACTAGGATGAGTCATTATTAAGTCTCTCTCTTCTAGTCCTTTTGTAGAACATGGTTTTTTTTTTGTCATTTACCCATTACAGCTCAGTCAATTTGCTTCCCAATTCAATTTTATGTTTGCGAGGCTTTTGCAAAGTTGGACCCCTGTGTTTTAAGAAGGTGAAATTGCAGCAGGATGAACTTGAGAGAAACGATAATAAAGGTTTTTCTGATCATATGAGTAAAGCTTTAAAACAGGTCACAGGCATAGGGAGGGATTTGCATTTCCTGAAGGCCTTTTGAAATCATATCTCACTTGTCTGGAAAGGATTAAGGACAGTTCTATGGAGGTCTGCTTTTAGACTCCTTCCAGTTTCGTGAGTCTGATTTGGGGATGTCTGTCTGGAGTCAGGTAAGTTGAGGGGGACATCTGAATCCAGGCTGGGAGGGAGGCACGTCAGGAAGTTGGCCTTTCCAGGTGGCAGCACACAGCAGTGGCCCCAAAGAAGGGGCTGTCACAGCAACTGATCACCGCATGATAAGGACAACTGGTGTTCTCATTTTTATTTTTATTTTATGATGTTTTTACTTCTGCTCAACGTGTATGATGAGCTGCTAGCCATGGGGTTCAATGGTACTAAGAAGAAAGTCTGAGTATTGAATACCACGAGTGTTTTATTTGGGGGCCTGGATTTTGGTTGGGATTTCCAACCAAAAGGATTACTTCCCAAGCCCTTAGGGACATGAGAATCTAGGAGATGCTACTGCAGCTCCTCTGAAGGCCTAAAATCTATCTACACATGGAAACTATGAGGACTCTATCCTGCTTTCCTTTCCTCTTTGATTTCATATCAGGAAAATTGGCAATATGGAGGCTAACGAAAACCTTCTACTACAAACGAGCAAACACACAAACAAATACACAAAAACATCATCATGCTCGTGGTTCTGGTCTCTCCTCCACCTCTTAATCTAGGCTGAGGATGAAATAGTGCAAGAGCTGAAGGTGACAATGAGCACGTGGTCAGCCTCGAGGATGGCAATTAAGCAATTAATCCTGGTTTTGTTGTGAGGAGTGTGTGCTTTCTATTTATGAAAATATCTGGAAAAGTACATATTACTAAACAACTTGTGCATCATTATTTCTTCCAGGTGCAGTTATATTTCAGATGACCTGGGTGGTTTTAATGTGCTGGTGACTGTTGACTCCGCCAGCCAAGGAAAAGCCCTGTCAACTCCTGGCTGTTCTTTTCAACTGTAGGCGACTCAAGGCCTAACACTTCAGCTGAGTCTGAAACAGCTGCTAGCCTGCTGCTAATGGCTGGCTTGGGGACGGCCTCCAGAATTGGGGAAATCTCTAATGAAATGGATAACATCCCTGTCAAAAAATGCTGGCAAAGATGGAGGCCCAGATCTCAGAGAAGGATCTGTGGCAACGACCCTTCATTTGTGGATGCTAACTCACACTTAGCTGGGAGAGCCTGGCAGTCTTCTCTGGGACTTTCCTAACAAGACTGACCTTTACTACCTTTTAAAAGATGGTAAAACATATGTACCATGAAATCAAGCATCACAGCCATTTTTAAGTGTGTGGCTCAGTGGCATGAAGCAATTCAGGGGGCTGTGCCACCACACCAGCCAGCTCTTCCATCACCCCAAGGAGACTGTCCCCATTCCACCCAACCCAACCCCCTACCCTTCTCACTAGCCTTGGGAAACCACTTTTTTCCTGTCTCTTTTTTGACTCTTTTAGCTACTTCCCAGCAGCGGAATTACTACTCAAGGCTCACTCACACTGGACGGGAAACCCCTGAAGGCGCCCACTTTGGTTGGGTGTCCCAGCAGCGCTCAGGATGTGACAGCGACAGGCGCCTCACCGGGTGATAATAATACAGGACCAGCAGCAACAGGCCCTTAAGAGGTTCTGAAGAGAGTTCTAGGCCTCAAGGGCTTGGAAAAGCCCTTGGTCTCTTGCATGGAAAAGTCCCTGGTCTCTTGCGTGGAGACTCAGCACTTGTGGCATAAGAGGTTCCCCCCGTGGCACACTCTCTTAATTTCACAGGTGCCATCAGGAGGGACCCGTCAGCTTGTGGAAATACTATGTTCTCTTCCTGCTGCTGGATGACTGTACAAATTAAAAAAAAAAAAAAAAAAAAAAAAAAGCCAAGTTCCAGCGCAGCCCCACACAGGGTGTCTCGCCAAAATGCAAAGTTTTACCACAGGGTACAGGCAGACAGTGTTTTTCAAGTGAGGGAACAGAGCGAGGTGCCTTTCAGCACATTTTCCTGCACTTCTTTAAAAATGATTTAAATTGGAGGCAATAGCATCGAATGCTCAACATCTGACACTCAGACGAGACTTAATGAATCACACGCCTAACAGCGCCCTCCCCTCCAGCCACCTCACTTGGCGCCTCTGGCAGTGGCTTTTTTTTTCCCCCTCAAAAACATTTGTTCTGCAGACCACTGGCTTGTAGGAGTGTCCTGGACAAGTCCTGGTAAGCGGCGGGGTGACCTGCCAGCCTGGATTCCTTCTGTTCTGGGTCTCCCCCCGGGTCTGAATTTCTGAGTCAAAAGACAGCACGTCCCTTCGGGGGGACTTGGAACCCACTTGGGCATCTCTGCCGACTCGGTCTCCTGCAGGACAGTTAAGCTGGAACCAACGGCTGTCCCCACTGCACAATCGCCAGCCTTGCCATTTGGCTGATTTGAATCAAAATAACACAAAGTAAGTAAGAGATCTTGTGGGTAGGAAAATACCAAAACCAGTGCTGGGAAAAAGACACCAACGTTGAGTATTTGGGTTGGAGCGAATTGTGACCTCCGGTGTCATAAATTATATCTCTGCTGGGGGCGGGGAGGCCACGGCAGCCTTGCTCAGAGCTGGCCTGGCGATTGTGAAGGGCACAGGCAGGGCTGACCGAGCCTGCGCGGGTTCCCCAAAGATCAGTGCTCGGTGTCTCCCCCAACTTGGGGATGGCTCCCCGGGTGAGGCAGAGCCATTGCAGGGGAGTTGTGAGGCTGCTCCTGCTGCAGCTGGACCGCAGGCAAACAATTTAATCTTCCAATCCAATCCTTAATGTACATGTTTAATATAAACCTGATGTTAACATGATGTACATGAATTTACTGGCAGGCAAAGCTGGGATTTACATCATCCTGAAAATCAGATGTTCTTTGCATCAGGGGCTGGGAAAACATTAAAAGATGGCCAGATTCTCCTGAATGGCAGGTGCATCTCTAAAGGCACACGCCCAATGCACCGTGAGAGGACTGGCCCCTCGCAGATGGATGCCAGAAACTGGTGTTGTAAGTTCATAGATGCGTGATGGGTTCTCTACAAGCTGCCCCCGGCATTAGCCCTCGTGTAGCCCAGTGGTCAACAAATGAAGCCCCGTGTCCCAAATCAGACTTGCAGCCTGTTAATCTAAGCACTTTAATGAACTGAATGCAATAAAATAGCCCATCTTCAATGCAGAATTTTTTTAAGATTTACTTACGCATACAAGAGCTGGGGTACAGGCCAGAGATGCAGGGGGTGAGAGGATTCACCAGAGGCAGAGTGGGGAGCAGAACAGGTGAATTGACTGGAATACACTGCTGAGGGGAGCAGCAGGTTAGCGAGGAGAGGTCTGCTGCACCGTGTGGGTAGCTCTCTGGTAGGCCGGGGATTGAGCTTGTGCTGCAGAGGCTGCGGATAGCTTCACAGTGCTGTGCTCAATGTTTGCACGACCAGGGAGACCCAATGCATACAGTTTGATGTCTGGCCAAATGGTAGTCCCGTGAAATCATCCCTGCCCGCCCAGTAATGGAGAAGTCCATCACCACCAGAGATTTCCTGCTGTGTCTTTGTAGTTGTTAGTTTTATTTTGTCTTTGTGTTTTTGGGATAAGAACATCTCCCCTCTTACCACATTTTTCAGTGATGTTGTGGTTCCACTGATACAAGATTTTGGCGAAGCAAGACGAGTAAACTCTGGGGGCTCTGCTTTATGGCCTCGTAGCACAGGCTGGACGGTGCTGGACTGTCCACAGCCAGAGTTTTGTGTGACTGCAGGGTAAGGAAAAATGTCAGGCTTTTCTGCCCTCCCACCATCAGGATAGATGATGGATCCTTGCAGTCCTGAATGCATGCCTGATGGCGGGCACCTGGAGCAGGGTGTGGGCATAGGTAGATGGGATTCACCTGGGCTAAGACTGAGCTTTTTAAGGGCAGCGTCATGGGGATGCCAATAGAAGCCAAAGAGGAGCCGAGAGAGAAGCAAAGAAGCAGAAGCAGAGATCACCAGAGAGCCCAGATAGAGTGAGGATTTGCTAGGGGCTGGGAGGCCTCCCAGCCTCCTGGCTCCCCAGCACCCCTGCCTGCTGTGTACCGGGTAAATCCCAATAAAAGACCTGCAAAAACCACTGAGGACTCTGAGTCCTCCTTTACCCAGTCTGCATGGGATCAGAAAAAATGCACTGTCTATTCCTGACCCTCTACAGTGACCCATAGCTAAGAATGACATTTACATTGATTGAAAATAAAACGAAATAAAAATATTTGATGTGCCCAGAAAATTAAAGTGCAATTCAAATTTCAGTCCCATAGGTTTTATTAGAACATGGCCATACTCACGCGTGTCTACCCTGTCTGTGGCTGTTTCTGTAGTGTAGTGACAGAGTTGAACAGTTGTGACAGCAACGATATGGCCTGCAGTGCCTAAAATACTTACTATTTGACTTTTCACAGATGTTTGCCTTGGCCTGCTCTACACATATATAATGGTGTATAGAAGTGATGATCGAGCAGCTACACATCACGTGTTTATTGCAGGTGTGTGTGCAATGACTTCCCCTTCAGCACAAAGCATGGAGCTTGTTAATTTTATTTTTTAAAGATTTATATTTGGCAAGTATGTTATTGTCTCCTACATGAGCCATGCTCTTGTCTATTATTCTAGATCTGGACTTTTCTATATGATAATGATGACCTGGAAGGACATTAAAAAAAATCTTTCCCATTTTACTGTATCGCCAGATGTCTGATGCTTTATAAATTAGGTAAGTAATTCACAAAACTGGTTGCAGATTGGTGTTATCAGGGGAACTTGCTAGGCACCTGGGCTTAACAAGGCAGGGTCAGGGTCAGGCACCGGGAGCTTCTGTTGGGTTGGTTTGCATTTTTTAAGTTCTGCTTGTGATGCTGAGATTCAGCTTGGTTTGGGATCTACAGGCAAGGCAGGCATTTCACTTTATTTCAGGGAACTGGAGCCTGTACTATAGTTACCTCCTGGCTCAGCCTTTCAATAGGTCTCGGCAAGCAGGCTGCTCTGCCTGGCAGAAATCCGTGACCAGAACTATTTGAGAGCAAACTAATTTCCCTGTTTTCTCTAACAGCCTACCTTCCTGAGCTCCTCCCACTAATGTGGGAGACTTTGTTCATAGGGGTGTCCAATCCAGTACTTGGCTGACGAGATAAGGAGATAACATACCCCCTGATAGCTGGCTTGATTTCCTTCTCCACCTTAACAAGTATTTCCCTATGAAAATATCCACAGGATATGGAATTCTAAATGAGAAAGAAGAGCCTTCAAGCAGGTTAGGATGAGTGCCTGTTAGAGAAATCCTTTTGTTCCTAACCAAATTTTCACAAGAGTCATGTTGACCTTAACTGGGTCTGAAAAGTCCTACCTGATTTTGATATAATCTCCACGAAAGGGGAGAAGAAATGAGCAGGAGATTTAATATTTGAGCTGTTAGGATGGAACCCTGATTTTTCTCCCCTAAGCTTTTAGGGTAAATTTCCCTAGCTTAGAGCCTTATGGAAAAGTCCCAAGGTCCCTTTGGCTCCTCTGGATGAAAAATTAGCTGCACATGCTCTCCGACACCCGTCTATACTCTGGCCCCTCATTAGTTTCAAATCTCAGTTTAATTTCCAGAAGAAATAGTTCAGGGTTTCCTGAGACTTAGCAATCGAATCTGACCCACAGCAGGGGGTCTCAGACCCAGACTGCCTTTTTCCTGGTCCCCAGTCCACTTCTCATCCTGCCCTTTCCAATCAGATTCACTGTTGCTGCCCTTAGGTTTGCAAAAGGGGACAGATCAGAAATTGTTTCCTGAAAACAAATGCTTCCATTTGCTCCCTTCCTGAAGCTTGTTTGGAAAGTTTTCTGGAATAGCTTTTTTGAGTTGATCTGTGGTAAATTGAATCATGCATCTGAGCTGTCACCTCAGAAAAAAATGATGCAAATTTGTGCTCTTTATTCATTTTATGAATAAATGAGTAGTTATGTGGCTACAGAGTTTGCTATGTGTGCAATACCAGTTTTATCCCCATTACAATGTCTCTGGTGCTTTTCATCAAAACTTGAAGCCCCTGTGGGGGTTGTGGGAGAGTCAGTCAGGGAAGAGACCCCAATGGTGTGATGAAGGGTGGAATTAGACTTTCAGTGCTGAACTTCAGTGCAGATGAGATGTTGCTGTATAATGAGGCATACCTGAAACCTATATAATGTTCTAAACCAATGCCTCCTCAATGAAAAAAATAAAATAAAAAAAGACTTGAAGTCCTTGTTTAGTTCATTTTGATCTCAACCTTCATATGGATGCTATGGGTTTGACCAAACTACAGTAAAATGAGTGGTTTGATTTCACCAGGATGCTCTAAGTTCTGTTTTCAGTACCAAGTCAAGTAAGTAGTAATTTTAAGAAAGAAGAAAACATCTGGAGGTAACACTGTTCATTTGGTAAATTCAGATAGTATTTTTTTCTTAAAAAGTGGGGTAGGATGGAAAGGCATATACTATACATTCTACGACTCTGAAAAAAAGTCTCAAAATGCTTCCTTTAAGGGTTTATTGACTTGATTATTAAGTCAACTTATTTATTCTCTCTGATGCTCATTTTCTTATCTAGGAAAGGGAGTTAAGAATACCATTACTGGAAGGTTCAGATGAGAATGAAATGGAAAAACAATATAATGTACCAAGTTTGAAATAAGAATACCTTCTCTACTCTACTGTACCCCCAACTCCCCCTATCCCGTGTCTCCATTCCAGAAAAACATATACTTCCATTGGGGCAGGTCTAGGCAGGTCTAGGCAACTTTATCCTAAGTTACATGTTCAATTCCTTGGAATCAACTCTCTTCTGAGGTCATTAATATAATAGCTTGAAGAGTTAAGTTGTCACAGCTGTGTGATAACCTTTGTTATTAGTTGGGGTCAGACCAGAATTCAGATAACCTGGACTGAGGATTTCATCAGTTATGCTGTCTTAATGGACACATTAATCATCTTTTCTTTTAAATTGTTAAAAAAAAAAAGGCATTTCGATAGCAAATTCTGGATGATGTTAAGACAAACTACTTTTCCTCTCAATCTACCAAAAAATAATTAAGTGGGAATGTTATGAAGAAACAATATATAAAGAGGACACGAGTGAAAGAGTGGAGCACCCCTAATGTTGCAGGGGTTAAGTCTTAACATTATCAAGCTATCTGCGGCCACTGCAGCAAATGTTTGATCCCCAGCCAGGGAGCTGCCCCACATGGTGCAGCAGACCTCTCCTGTCTCACCTGCTGCTCCCCTCAGCAGTGTATTTCAGTCAGTCTGCCTGTTCTACTCCCTACTCTGTCTCTGGTGAATCCTCTCACCCCCACACCTCTGGCCTACACCCAAGTTCTTGTATGCATAAGTAAATAAAAAATAAATCTAAAAAAAACAAAAGAGAAAAAGAGTGGTCTCAAGCTGCCTTGTAAAATGATGAAAGGACAACAACCATCTCTCATGTCTGAGAAAATATTCACACATCTAAAGTGCAATGCTTTGCATGCATAATTTGTATAGAAATGGGGAGGCCAACTGGTGAACATTCTCACTCGGCATTACTTCTGGAAATTTCTTTGACATCTTTCATCAAATAGATTTTATTTTCCTCCTGGCATTTGAGGCCTTGGATAACTATATTCTTTGCCAAGCAGAGAGACTAAGAAAAAACAGATTTTAGTGTCAGAGAGCTCTAAGTTGGATTCTGAGGTTTACCATTTATCAGACATGCTCAACTGGGCAAAGGCCTCCACCTTGATAAGATTATCCGTGTCCTCATATTTGTACTGAGAGTTAATGAGGTGACATAGATATAAATTTTGGAAGTAATAAGCTAATAAATATCGGTGCCATGCCAACGATCATATTTCAACATTCCAAAATATGGACATTTTTATTTTAGGCATTCAAGTCTTACTTTGCCTTCCCTGGACACACTGACTTTTTTTTCTTGCTGTTTATATTTGCTCAGGCTGCTCATTTCTCTGGATTTCTTACCCATGTCAGGGTCTTCAGTCCATAGTCAATACTGCATTTGCAACCTGTTTTAACATTTAAACTCTCTCCCACAGTGTCCTGGCTCAATTCCCTTTCATGTCTCCTTACCTGCCCACTGTTCTACTCACACTTAGGTATGGTGTGACCTAGAGTGTGACACTTGCTTTCTTTCTTTTTTTTTTTAATATTTATGTATTTATGCATGCAAGAACTGGGGTACAAGCCAGAGGTGCGGGGGTTGAGAGGATCCACCAGAGACAGAATGGGGAACAGAAAAGGCAGATTGACTGAAATATGCTGCTGAGGGGAGCAGCGGGTGAGCCAGGAGAGGTCTGCTGTGCCATGTGGGTAGCTCCCTGGCCTACCGGGGATCAAACTCATGCTGCAGTGGCTGCGGATAACTTTGTAGGTTGCGCCTTAATCTCTTGCACCACCAGGGAAACACTGTTGCTTTCTTTCTGCTTAAAATTATTGAACACACATCTTTCATTCTATCTAGACAATAATAATTTCACAGGTGAGCATATGTTCAAATGTTCTATTTCATCAGAGGAATGATATACTTAGAACCAACCTGCTCACATCCTAGGTAACTTTGAAATGTCCGTAGAAGTTAATTTGATTCCATATTAAAAATGAGTACAGAGTGAGCTATTGATCTTTCTATTTCTTGATTCACAACTAACTTCATAACTTACTTTAGAAAATTTTAGTTGAAAATGAGAATCTTGATAAAAAAATTGCCGCGATTATATATGACAACCAGCAAAACAATTCATTCTCAAGATATCAGGCTCATTCTTGAACTGAAGTTTGACTTTTTGAAGCTAAAAGAAGTGAAAGTGATATCCATTTACCCTCCCCAGGAGTTTGCATTTGTCCCTGGTCTACTGATTTGCAAAAACAAAAAGCAAAATGAACAAACAAACAAAAACAAAGAAATCACTTTAGAATTACACATTCATTCAATTCTTGCATAGTAACCTGTTGGTTATGATGCAAATTGGGGGATGCTAACTTGGTGGATTATCACTAAATGAACAAACTATGGTGGGAGTGATGTCACACTTAGATTTTGGTTGTCCTGATAACTCCAGCTCTCTTTTCCTCCATGTATTATTCCCCGGGATCCCACTTCATTTTTGATCCTCTGCAACCCTGAATCATGATCACTAGAAATGGACAAAAAGACTTATGTTGGGATCCCCTTGAGTTCAGGAAAAAGAAAATCTTGATACAACTCTCTTAATACAAAAGATTTTTCAATCATGTCATAAAATATCCAGCAATAGGGAAATACAGGTATAGTTACTGATGCTCAGAGTTGGTCTTCAAGGTTTTACATCCCTTCTGACTGCCTTGTCATCCTCCCTGTGTTATCTTTATCCTTGCCCAGAGCTCCCTATGCTTGAAAGATGGTGGCTATGGTCCCAGGGAAACCAGAAAGGGGCTGTCCTTTTCTGACTATTTTTAGTCACAAGAAACTTTTCCCTTTTTAGACTTTCCTTCCAACCTGTTGGTAAGAATTGGGTCATATGTCCCTTTTTTTAAGCCAATCACTCTCAAGAAGAAAGAATTACATAAGTGAGGTGGACTAAGCAGTATTCACCCCCCCCCTTATGACATATTGGAGGAATGATTACTTCCTCCAAAGGCAGGCTGGCTTGGACAGGCAGGGGGATGGGTGTGTGTGTGTGTGCGTGTGTGTGTGTGTAATATTATCCTGAAAGGACAGTGCCTGCTGGGCAGAAGAGAGTATTACGAAAGGGGCCGATGAACCTTGTCATTGAGATGAGTTAAAAAATAGTTCTGCTGAGAGACAACAAAGGCTAATTGACTTCTTGAAAGTCAGTCTCTGACCCTTCCTGAAATACTCAGGACTGTGTGTTTAGATGAGTAGATTCCAAACTTCATGTTGTTTCACTCTCTGTCTCTCCTCCGTGAGACTGTGATGTTGGTTCTCTGGGTAGTGTTACAGGAAGTGACATTGAATTCTTGCTGCTTGGACACTGCCAAACCCACAACCTAATGAATCGATGCTCTTTCAAGTTTCTGTTGGAAGCCTACTCTAACATGAACAACAGTAGCAAAACTATGCAAGACCTTCATTAAGACTCAAGTTTGATTTAATGCCAAATCCTCAAAAAAAAAACAACAACAGCAACAACAACAACAACTTAGAATTAAGGGAAATGGAGATACTCAGAAATTTAGACCTCATATTGAGCTGTTTTTATTGGATGGCATGATGCATGGATTATTTTCCTCTTTATGGAACAAAATATGATACCATACTTCTTTACAATTAAATTAAGGCTAAAGAACAACAAAGACGGTATCGTTCATATGATGCATTTGAAAGATACTGTTGGTGCTCCACTGAGTAGACTGTAGATTGCCTTCACTCTGTTGCTGTATGAAATGCCAAGTTTTCAGGACAAATCCTATTAAGGGGTTTTAGTTCCTGCCTGACATTTTCCTTTCTTCTCTTGCAGGTGCCACTGCATGGAGATACCTCAAGATTCTTCAGAGGATAGTTAAACTTCACTTAGAAATTGTAACCATTAAATCGGGAAATCAGTTCATTCTCTCATTGATTTATCTATCCTATATCTATTATATAACAATAAACTTATTATAACTGCCTACTTATTTGTCATCTTAAAGGTCATAAACTTTTGGTAAAACTTGTTCCTAGCTGCATCTTCAATATCTGACATATTTATTGAGTAATAAGTATTCAGTAAATATTTGTTCTGCATATGAACTCCTAGTGAACTTTTAATCTAGGAAAGAAGATAAGACATGAAAACAAATGAAAAAGAATAACATGATGGGTAGGGGCTGCCACAAGAGATGACCAAAGATTTATTGGAATTGTGAAGACAGAGGAAGATCCCAAGTATTACATTCATTCATGCTCTGGGAAATGGTATGTTCATCCATTTTTATCTATCTATCTATCTATCTGTCTATCTATCTATCTATCTATCTATCTATCTATCTATCTATCTATCTATCTATCTACCTACCATATCTGCCTGTCCACTTAATTACCTACCTACCCATCTAGTTGCTTAGATAGCATACTTTAGTCCTCTATTTAGAAGCCATAGCCAAACCAAGAAAATCAATTGCTAAAGAAAGCACTCACAGACTATAAATGTTCTACATATTTACTGGCAATGTTTACCCAACCTGTTTTTATATAAAGTACAGGTAATCTACATGAGTTTTTTACAGATCGTACATGGCTGGTTGTGCTTTTTTGTCCAGTTTAGCAAACACTCAAAATGTGAGTGTTTAGTGCAGTCACACTTAACATTACAATTGATTTGGTCATGTAGAAATCAACTGTCTGGCTATTTGTTTCTTATTTGACCCATATCTTGTTTCTTTCTGTTTTCTTTTCTCCTTATATGGTCTTTTATAGTCACTTAGTCCAATAAGTGTTGTGCAGCTTCATTTAACTTAAATAACAAATATAAGAACTGCATTACTCAAGTTTTCTATAGAAACCAAACTCTCACACACATACACACACAGACACACACACACACACATATTTAGAGAAAGAGAGAGAGAAAGAGATTTATATGAGTAATTGGCTCAATCTCCTGCCTATAAGCCTATAAACTGGACACCAGGTGGTATAATTCAGGTCCAAGGTCAAAGGAAGACAATGATGTAAATGCCAGTCCAATGGCAGAAGACTCATGTCCCAGTTCAAACAGTAAAAGAGTAGAAAAACATGACCCACAATCAGGGGAAAAAGCAGACAATAGAAATAAATCCCAAGATGATCTAAATGAGATATTGAAAATAACAGATAAGGACTTTAAGCATATATCAAACATTTATTTAAGAAATATATATATATATATATATATATATATATATTTATGGGGCCTTCCTGGTGGCGCAGTGGTTGAGCGCTGGGTGTTGAAGTTGCCCGCAGTCTCTGCTGCACTGGTTCGATCCCCGGCCGCCGGGTGAGGGTCCCACATGGTGCGCAGACCTCTACTCCCGCCTGCTGCTCCCCTCAGCAGTGTACTTCATCACTCTGCCTATCCTACTCTCCGCTCTGACTCTGGTGAATTCTCTCACCCTCCCGCGCTTCTGACTGTACCCAGTGCTTGTATAAATAAATAATCTTTAAAAAAATTTAAAAAAAGAAATATATATATTTATATATATGTATAGTCTTAAAGAGTGAATAGGTGTAGTGTCAGCCTTATGAAAGGGAACTGTTTGAAAATTCTAGAACTGCACATTAAAAGAAAAGAGAGGGCCTCCCTGGTGGTGCAGGTGGTTGAGTGCAGTGCTGTGAAGCTGTCCGCAGCCTCTGCAGTGCCGGTTTGATCCCGGCCGGCCGGGGAGACACCCACATGGCTCAGCAGACCTCTCCTGTCTCACCCGCTGCTCCCCTCAGCAGTGTGTTTTGTCAGTCTGCCTGTTCTGTTCCCCACTCTGTCTCTAGTGAATCCTCTCACCTTCCTGTGCATCTGGCCTTTACCCTGGCTCTTGCATGAATAAAAATAAATCTTAAAAAAAGAAAAAAAAAGAGAGAATCAATAGCAGCTAGGAATTAGCAAAAAAAGAGTGAACTTGAATACATATCAGTAACGATCCAAACTAAAGACTAGGGGAAGAAAAAAAAAAAAAAAAACATAAACAGAGCTTCAGTGGCTTGTGGAAAAAATCAAGATAAATAACATAAGTATAAATTGCATCTGAGAAGAAGAAAATGGTCAATATATCTCAAATTGGGGTGGGGGGAAGGGAGAGAGAGAGAGATAACATGTCCAAGAAGCTAAGCAAACTCCAAGTAAGATAAATAAAAAGAATAGTAGAGACCAGAAGACAATGAAACAACATATTTCAAGTTATGAGCAGAATAAAAAGGATCATTGCATAATTATCTACCCATTGAAAATAGTCTGTGAAAATGAAGATGAAAAAAGGACATCATCAAGAGAATAAAACTAGCAGATATGCTGAGGAATTTATTCAGACTAGAAGTCAAATGATACAAAATAGAAACCTGGACCTTCAGAAAAGAGATAAATGTATCAAAAATGGTAAATGTGCAGGTATAAAATTGAATTTTTGCTATTTTTCTTTAATTATATCAAAAGACAAATAACTCTTAAAGATAATATTAAATCTAGGGTTTATAATGTATGTACATATAAAATATGAGATTGGTTCATAGCCCCAAATATGGGTACTCCATATTTGGGGCTATGAACCTTCTATAAGGTTCTTGTGGCAATTAATTTTATGTATCAATTGAAAATGGAGGAATAGATTAAACATGACTCCTGGGTGTTCTGTGAAGGTGTTTTCAGATGAAATTAGTACTTGAATAAGTGGACTCAGTAGAGTAGATCTGCCTTCCATTTGGGCATCATCCAGCCCACTAGGGGACTGAATAGAACAAAGAGGCAGAGGAAAGAATAGTCTTTCCCCTTTTGTCTCCTATCTACATGAGTTTCTTAATCATTTGATGAATATTATAGATAATACTTGTAGGAAGTACAGATTATATTGTTTTCCTTTAAGGGGAGTTAGACTGTATTCTGGTATGAAAATCATATACTATAATATCCAAAATAACACTTTCCTTGAGTCTATTGAAGCTTGGTTTGGGTTTTGTTGGGTACTCTTGACTAGCTCCTAGCTAGTGTGGGGAGGGGTTGGCAAAACTTTCTTAAAAGAGCTGCTGATAATTATTTCAGTCTTGTGGGTGATGTTGCTTCTGTCGCAATTACTCAACTCTGACATTGCAGCATGAAAGCAGCCATAAAAATAGTAAACAAGTAAGCATGACTGTGTCCCAATAAAAGTTTATTTACAAAAACACATGGTCAGTTCATGGGCCATGGTTTGCGAACCCCTGCCCTCGGTCATGGGCCTTATTCCTAAGTAACAGTCTAGAGACATGACCAGGATGTTAACAGGATTTCTCTATTTCTGAATGGGACAAAATTCCAGTATCTCCCACTACTCTGTGATCCTAGGCTCTCCATTCCATTCTCAAGCTTGAAACAGCCTCTCAAACCCTCATGGGTCTCACCATGCACATCTGCAGCCCAAGGTCTTATCGATAACAAAGTCTTACAGAGAATCCTGCACATGCCCCTGATCCCATACCTCACTCTTCTGCCCCCTACTACCTGTGCGTATCTACCCTTTTCCAGTGTCCTGTCCAGAAATTTTCATTTGCATTGGTATTTGCAGGCTAAGCAGGACTGTCATGATCTTTGGGTTCCTCCTCACTGGATCATTGCTGGGGAGTCTTCCCCAGCAGAGAACCCAGATGGACGTGGGGCTTACTTCATGCATTTCCCTTGCCTCCAGAATCTCAGTCCAGAGCAGCCTATTTTTCAGGGCCTGAAAATCAGCACCTTAAATATTTTTTTCCAATTTCATTATTGTTTACTAAGAAAAGCAACTTCAGTTTCAAACCCAATAGAGTTTGAAGCTGAGGTCTTTTCTCATTGCTGAAAATAAAAGTAAATGACTATGTTGTGTAAGAACTGGAAAGACTAATCCCGTTTAAATGGTATTTTAAATGGTTAAAGTGAGGCGGGCTGGGAGCCAGCAGAGCTTGGGCGTGGTCCCTTTATCACATTCTGCAATGATTACTAGAGCCTTCTACACATGCCCAGCCAAAACCAGATGCTCTTATGGGATCTGTAATCTTTTTAGCATTTAAATAATGTCTCCTACTCAGAAGTCAGGATGTCGACAAGGAATACCAGAGGATTATAGTTGATTAACACCACAGTTTTTTTCTCTCATAGATTCATTGATATCTCTCTGTTTATTGATTTAATAAGAACAAACATTTCAAAGCACCTCCTAATTTTCAGGCCCTGTGCTAGATAAAAAGACCATGAAGGTGAGGAAGACACAGCCCCTCAGAGACCACAGAGCCTAAGAGAAGACAACAGGTATGTGAAAAGAGTATTTTATTTTAAAGATTTATTTATTTATGCAAACAAGAACTGGGGTGTAAGCCAGTGGTGCGGGGGGTGAGAGGATCCACTAGAGACAGAGTGGGGAGCAGAACAGGTGGATCTACTGAAATACACTGCTGAGGGGAGCAGCAGGGAGACAGGAGAGGTCTGTTGAGCCATGTGGGTCAGCTCCCTGGCCGGGGATCGAACTTGTGCTGCAGTGGCTGGTGATAGCTTGATAGTGCTGTCTTTAGCTCCTACACCACCAGGAAGGCCCTGAAAAGAGTATTATGAATGTGAGAAAATTCCTGTAAAGGATGAGGTGCACCAAAAAAATCCAGACAAGTTGCAAAGTGATCAAGCTGGGTCTTTACTATAACAGTACGAATTTATCACATAGCAGATCCATGCATATGTAATGCACATGTCAGACAGGGAAATGCACTGAGCACACTAGGTATGAAGTTAATAAGCAAGAGATGGCAGGAGAAGAGACTGGACTAGCACATAGGAGCCAGCTCATGAAAGACTGTATAGGACATGATAAGGAATTCATATTATCAATATTATATTATCATATTAATAAGAAACCATTCAGGACT